AAAGAAACTCTGTTTATCTCAAAAGGAATATTTGAAGAGAGTACTTCAACGTTTTGGCATAGATGACAAGACTAAACCAGTTAGTACTCCACTTGCTTCCCATTTTAAGCTAAGTGCTATTATGTCGCCAATGGATGAAGCTGAACGAGAGTATATGTCAAAGGTACCATACGCAAATGCTGTTGGTAGCTTGATGTATGCAATGGTTTGCACAAGGCCTGACATTTCACAAGCTGTTGGAGTTATTAGCAGATATATGCACAATCCAGGGAAGGAGCATTGGCAAGCTGTGAAGTGGATTCTACGGTATATTCATAATACTGTAGATGTCGGGTTAGTTTTTGAGCAGGAAGACAATCAGTCTGTAGTTGGATATTGTGACTCAGATTTTGCGGGTGATATGGACAANTATTGTTGAAAACTGAAGATTGAAGATGAATACACAACCAAAATTTGTTATTGAGGGAAAATTAAAGATGTAGAATTTTGCCAAGGTGGAGATTTGTTGAATTTGGCAAAACCTTTTGTCCCACATCGGTGGGAAAAGAAGGGTTGGGGGGATTTTCCCCCTATAAAAGAAGGCTTAATGTTTAGGATTTAAACACACCTCTCATTTGCCTTCTCATCTGTTTAAGGCATTTGTATCTTCTCTCTTTAGTATTATTTAAATATTGGTTGTGTTCGAGGAGTAGGCAAAATTAGCCGAACCTCGTAAATTCTGGTGTTTCCTTTATTGTTGTTTTATTGTCTTATTTATTATTTGGTGACTGTCATAATTTTTGGTATAATAGTTATGACTTATTCACACTATATACATTTAGCTTCCGCAACAAGAAGTAGTACAAAAGTCAGCTTATTGGTGTTGAACTTCTTTACCAAGTAAAAGATTACTTCTCCACCCATGTTTTAAGGATGAAAAGAAAACTATACTATTTTTGTTAAAGAAAAGGTGATTCTTAACAATAAGAAGACTCAAGTGTAAAATATTCAAAAAGAATTTGCTTATCATACATCCAAAAGAAAAAAAATTCCAGTACAAATGAAAGAAGATGCAGAACAGAACTGATAAACTTTTTTGTTTCAACTATCATATGAACATTGTAGTTTTATTATGATATTAAAGTTGCCTGATATATATTTAAAAATGAATTTATAAAGAACTTGATAAGATTAGATTTTTAAGCTTTTAAAACCTGAACTTTATAAAAACGAAATGTTTAAAACTTCTTACACAAACACCTCATATTAGGCACGTGGTGAACAGTAGAGACAGAGTCAGAATTTAAAGTTTATAAGTTCAAACTTACAATTGAACTTATAACGCGTTTTAATTATACCAGATTCATAATTAAATATTATATTAGGTGATTCGCCTAATATAAATATTTATATTGAATTCATTCAAATTTATACCAGATACTCTAGCTCCGCCCTTGCTCAACACGAGCATCACCAATCAACAAAGGTTGTGGTGGAGTTGTAAGTACTCCTTCATCCTTAATCAAAGGTTTCGGATTCGAGTCCCTGTGTATGAAATTGCATTTGTTAGAGAGCGTTTTACCCTCGGTGTGAAACTTTCCGACGTGAATCTGGATTTAATCGGACCCATATTCACCGGGTGGGAAAAAAAAACGAGCATCACCTCACCTCGTACTTTGTTATAAATGTCAATCTTCGAAGAGTTGGTGAAAGAAATATAGTACTCCTAATATACCCTTTTGTAGTATCCAATAAGGCAAACTGCACCAGAAAATGACAAACATTCCTAGTCAGTGAGAAAGTGATAATATAAATACTCCTTTGCATCCACTAGCAGCTGAGCCACGTGATGCCCTCCTTTTCTATATTACAGAGTTAGTTTTTTTGGTTTTCATCCGTGTCATTAGAGTCCGATTATATTTGGATCTGCGTCCGATTGGACCATATTTGGAAGACAACGCTCCATACCAAGGATTTTTTCATAAAAGAGTATAAGTTATGTACATCATTAGCATAAATTATTTTTAATTATTAAATATAATTATTATACATGTTCAATTTATTATACATGTTCAACCATAACATGATGGTGTAAAAATTCCGTACAGTGTGATACGCATAGGTTATTTCTCTATCAAAATTCTTACATTTCTATTATTAGTTGTTGTTTGTTTAATTATTTTACTAGGTGCGGTTATTTTTGCTCTTTTCATAGTTCTTTGTTATTATTGATTTGATTAAGCTTTTCTTGAGCCGAGAATTTACTGAAATATTTCTCTATCTCGTTAAAATGACACCAGGTATCTACTTTTAAGAATGTCGTTTAAAATATATCAACAATTTATAATGTATTTAAAGATTAGCCAATTTCGCTCAAACATCACAAAACAACGTCCTAGATTTTAAACCTCAAAATTCAAACTTCATCCTAAAGTTCGAATCTTATGTCTTGAATTTTAAATTAGTAGTTCAGAAATTCAGGAAACTTGGTCCTTAACTTCAAATTAGTAGCTCAAAAAACCAAGACACTAAGTTCTGAATTTCCAAATTCAGATACTTAATCCAGAAGTTTGGGTGAATTAACTAATCTTTAAATATATTGTAAATCGTGAATATTTTTTAAATAGGGGGCTTAAAAATGATTATCGCTGCGCTTCGTCCGGTAAGATCCAACTCAGAGTACCTTCCTTTTTGGAGTATAATCTCTGATAGGATATGGACCTTTTGGATCGTTTGAGTAAGAGAAGAAAAAAGAAAATTGACAGAGCACTAGTGACTAGCCTATGTGGCCTACACAAAGAACTATGTACCAAATTTATGTGCTTTCATAAATTCTTTTCTCTCTTTTTTATTGGTTGGTTTATATTCCAAGTTGGCATATTTAAATGGATTGTGTTCATTTTCACAACTTAGAATGAGAGAGAGGAAAGTAATTAAGAGGATTTTGATTCTTGATTTGTTATAATAAATTCTTTAATCATGCCTATTGAACTGAAATTTTCTTATAGAAAACGAAATGATGGCATTAATCGGTGGGTTTTTTGGACTCAACATAATGGTGATGAGTTGAACCAAGTTAAATCCCTCTTTCCAATTCTCAGTAAGTTCTTCTGTTTCTCTGTTTGTGGCCTTGGTCTTTTTTTCCTTTTTTTTTTCGAAATTGCATTTTTTTTTTGGGTATAGTTTTGGTCTGAGCTGAGATTAAATGGAGTGAAATGATTAGTGAGAATTCATATAGCCGATTCAAATTGCTTGGGATTGAGTCGTGGTAATAGTTGTTGTTCGTAACGAATTGGGAAAGGAGCTGTTAAGGAAGCAAAATTAGTTAGTGGGCAGTTACTGAAATAATTGAAAATCATTTAAAGCATATATAGCAGTGATGTCTAGTAATTTTTCTTGAGAAATATCCTTCATTTTGTCCATTTTTAGGGTCAATGAAATTCATGTTTCTTTCGATTTCTGTTGAGTATTAGAGATCATTAAGTTGAAGGGGAGTCTTGGCGTAATTGGTAATGTTGCTGCCATGTGACCAGGAGGTTACGAGTTCGAGTCGTGGAATTAACCTCTTGCAGAAATGCGGGGTAAGGTTGTGTACAATAGACCCTTGTGGTCCGGCTTTTCCTCGGACCTCGCGCATAGGGGCAGCTTAGTGCATCGGGCTGCCTTTATTAGAGATCATTAAGTTGTTGTTTTGTTTTGAAATTCTCTAACGTCAATCTTGTTCGACTTTTCATTGAAAAGGAGATTCTACTCAACCTGATACAAATGGTGACTGTCAATTGAACAGATTGACAATCAAGAATCTAGTCGAGCTTCTTGATGTTCAAGGTACTTGTTTGATTCAATTTTGGGCACCTATAAGGAATAATGGTGGGAAGACTTTCTTAACAACAGCAGACCAGCCTTTTTCTTTTAATGGCAAGATTCACGAGGGTCTGTGGGCGTACAGGCGTGTATCTCTTCACACAATAGCGTCCGTGGACGCCACAGAGATCGATGAAACTAAACGCATATGCGTCCATGGCCGTCCAGCGCGCGTCTTCAGAAGTGGAATGCCTGAATTCAGTCCTCATGTCAGATACTATTACATGGATGAATACCCTTTGCGCAATTTTGCAATGTGTTTGGGAGTAGGTAGCTATTGGACTTTGCCAGTATTTGAGAGTTCAGGGGACCGTTGTATTGGCGTACTGGAATATGCTTTCGAGGCAAATGTAGGTCTTGATCTTTACTCTATCTTAGACCGTCTCATCAACAATCACAGAATACTTAAGGTATATCCTATATGCCCCCTACTTTTTTGTAGAGTTTAACTTCTATAGTCAATATAAAAGATATTTTTACATTATCAAGTCACCTAAGAGATAGCTACAACCGACTACGCTGCCAGTTTATATAAGCTAGATTATATATCCTCATAAGCATGACCACAATAAATGCAATGTTCTGAAATAATTTTGTGACTGAAAAACCTTGATAAACAAAAGTCATGCGACATGCATGTTAGAGTTAATTCCACTCAGGTTTCAATTAAATAAGTGGAAGTTTTCAAGTTCACTACATCAAGTAACTTGGGCAAGTGAAACTTTTGATAGCCTTGAGAATTTTACTTACAACTCGAAAGTGAAACATTTCAAGAATTTATGGATTAGGAGTCCTCAGATAACCACTTTTGATGGTTGCTCCTTCTGTACCATTGTTATTTTCCATGTTGGCTTTGGAGAAAATTTAGAAAGTAATGATTTTGTTGGGATTCTCATAACATTAAAGTTCTTAGTCTTCTGTCCTCATTGGATTACTACTACTACTACTTAGTTGCGAATAAGTTGGGTAAATTCCCCACATGATTGAATATCTAAATTTGTATCGGATGATTCCTTGCAGTTAGGCACATGATTGAATATCTAAATTTGTATCGGATGATTCCTTGCAGTTAGGCACATGATTGAATATCTAAATTTGTATCGGATGATTCCTTGCAATTAGGCTTCCTCCAAAATCCTCGAGTAAGCCTAGTTTGCTGTTAGTTGTATTTCATACTGCGCTGAAACTTATATTATTTGCAGACAATGGGTCTAGCTCTCATTCCTTCATGGTTAGCATGCCCGCAAGAGGTAAACTCTCCTAATTATGCATTTCTTTATAAGCAAGTGAAAAGAATTCCCGTCATTGAATATTTATCTTGAACAATACATTAAAAAAACGGCCAGCCCAGCTTCCGGGGAAAGTCGGACCGCAAGGGTCTATTGTATGCAGCCTTACCCTGTATTTCACTGTTTCCACAGCTCGAACCCGTGACCTCCTGGTCACATGGCAACAACTTTACCAGTTACGCCAACTTTCCCCTTCTATCTTGAGCAATACATGAAGTCTTTAAATCTCTCTCTCTCCCACCTCTACTCTATTTATGTAATTTAATTTGCTCAAAGCAGATACAAGAAGTATGGGAGCAAGAACTTGCTCAAGTAAAGGAGGCTTTGGACGTAACATGTAAGACTCACATGTTACTCTTTGCTCAAACTTGGATTCCAGTGCTTGATTCAAGTAGAACACAAATGTTGATCACCTCGCCCCCAACAAAATATTGGAGTGAAGAGATATCGTCTCTTGAATTTTTGGCTGTTAGTGACCTACATCATGTACAGATTGGTCAAGGATTGGTTGGAAAAGTGCTTTCATCAAAGGGTTCATGCTTTTGCCGAGATATAACTCAATTAAGCATAGATTTTTACCCCTTAGTACCAATTGCCCGCTGTGCTGGATTTACCGCCTGTTTTGCAATTTTTGTGAGACTGAATAGTGCATGCCACATGGTACTAGAATTCTTTTTACCACGTGATGAGATGCTCGATAGAAATCCACAAAGTTTCTTGAGCAAGCTATTAGCCACAATTCGAGAGCAACTTCCGAGCTTTTTCCTTGATTCAGGACCAAGCCTGTTTGTTGAGGTTATCAGAACTGCTCCTGTCGATGAGCTTGATTCCTTTGAGATAAACCAACCACAACAAGTGGTTCGATCAAAGGGAAACGAAAAGGTGGTGCATTTTGATTCCTTGAATCAAGATACCGCTGATTTAGGGCCTTCGAGTTCAACTGATATAGGAGCTCATTACATGGAAATTACAAACCATACTCCTGATAATGGAGAAGAAACTGTGCTGCAAGATTCAGCACACAAACAAGGAGTTGAGGAAGCTGATGCAATGGACAAAGAAAAGAGTTCTGTACATTTCAAAGAGAACAAATTTGCCTATACTGATTCAGACATACTTGCAACATCATTTGTTGATTCAGAGCAAAACTTGTCTACTGATAAAGCTTCGCTCGATGAAAAACTTGATTCCTTCAAAATAGGCCATCGTCAACTTCCCTCGATGGTACAATATAACACCATCAATCAAATATTTGGTTTTGATCCTTCAAGTTCATCTGATTTAGAAGAAATTGTAACTGCGGATTATGGACGGGACACTCAAATGAATCTTCAGTCAAAGAAGAGAGGAGAAAGTACACAGCCAGATTCAGCACATCAGCAGACAGTGGAGGAAGCTGATGTAGCGGACAAACGAAAGCATTCTGTGCATGTCGAAGAGAATACAAATTCCCAGAATTGTCCAGAGAAACATAAAAGGATAAAGAGGATAGAAAAGGAGTATGGCATTAGTCGTAGTGTTCTAGAAGAACAATTTGGAAAGAAACTTTCTGATGCTGCAAAGAGTTTAGGAGGTAAGCAAATCTTTTCAATATAGGCATTTCGCAACTTCATAAACATTCACCAAATTTGATGCTAACTTTTTTTCTTGCAGTTGCTCGAAGTACCTTGAAGCGCATGTGCAGAGACTACGATATATACAGGTGGCCACGTAGTAAGTCTGCAAATGATGTATGCTCGCTTTCTGAAAACAAACCAGTAAAAAGAGTTGAAAAACAGATGGGGAATTCCAGTCGAGAAGACCTACAGCTACCACATGCTAGTCTGTCTAATGGAATGGATACAACTACGACGTTGACTCAGAGGAAGGTGCCTATTGCTACATTTCAGAGCGACAACACCATGAGCGTAAAGGTAACTTACAAAGATGTGACCATAAGGTTTCCGCTCTCTCTTTCATCGGGGAAAATTGATTTGGAAACAGAAGTTGAAAAGAGATTGAAATTAGTACCGGTTGGAAGTTATTCTATAAAGTATGAAGATGAAGATAACGATTGGATTGCAATAACTTGTGATTCAGATTTAGAGTATGGAATACACACTTTAAGATCATTAGGAAGAACTACAATGAAGATGTTGGTTGAGCCCTTGAATTAATTTTACTGATTATGTACATGTCATATGTCCCCTATTTTTAGTGTTCATGCACCATAGTACAATAGACACTTGTACGAGGCGTGGAAACAGCCTCTTGCATAAATGCAGGGTAAGGTTGCGCACAATAGACCCTTGTGGTCCAGCCCTTCTTCGGACCCCGCGCATAGCGGGAGCTTAGTGCACCGGGCTGTCCTTTATTCACCATATTTTTCCCATCAGCTTAAAGCTTTCCTTGAGCCTAATGCTTTTTAGTTACTAATGTTAATACGTGGTTGTAACGTGTTAAATGCTAGGATTTTGTTAGGTTTTGTTATCTTGTAATTGTTCTACATCTGGTAGGATCCCTAGATTGTATTCTACGTTTCTTCGGTCTGTGCTGGATATGTGTTATGACTTATGTCTCTTGTTTGTGTTCTTCTAAATAATATATGTGCGTAAATTAGCTAAGGATCTAACCAAACATTTTCCTAGCAGCAGTCCCTCTTTCTACTGACCACTTTATTCTTGCTGCTATTCTTTGTGTGACCTATATAGGTCACGAGTTCGAGCCTGAAATCAGGCGAGATACTTGCATCAGGGTAGGCTACTAACACTACACACCCTTGGGGTGCGCCCTTTCCCTGGAACTTGTGATCACGCCCAACTATGCCTTATAAAAAGGACAAGCGGTCGTTACAAATATAATCCGAGTATTTAGCCCAGAGTCGAATTCCACAGGAAATTAACCTACCAATTACTCTTGTTAGACTCACTGAATTCTTCGTAATCAACTTTCCAGAAATTTGAAATAACAATTGGTGATATTTTTACTAACTATAACTGAATGAATGAAAGTAAATAAACTAAAAGCTAACTATGGCTGAGTTGTATGCAAATAAGAGAAGGATCTAAGGTTGTGATTTCCCCTATTGATGGAATCCCTTCCTATAATGTTTCGCATAGAATTGCCTAATCATCTGTATCGATCATGAGCACTATTACTATCGTAAATCTCTCCCGAGTAATTACGATAATTTACTAGACGCACTCTCCCGAGTTACGCTAGCTGGCTTTTATTACGGCTCACTTTAGATCGCACCCAAGGTTTCGTTATCCCTAATCTCACATTTAAACCCTTGGTTATTGATTCCTCATATACTTTGAGAATGGTGTTGTTCAACAATTACCTAAATATGCACTCTCTCCCGAGTAATACATACTAAATAGGCACAGCTAATTGAGGATCCTATCAATTAACTACAACAAGAACGTAGTTGATCAAATAGAGATTAAACTGGGCAAACTATATTAACATAACACGAAGTTCATCCTTCAACAGGTTCCATCAAAACCCTAGACAAAATAATTAGCTACTCATAATCGTATTCATACTAACAACAACAAAATTCATCATAAATGGTAAATACAAAAGGAAGAAAAGAAGAACTCGATGTCGAATTATTCTCCTTGCCTCTTGCCTCTCCTTGCCTTCAACTAAGCTGTAAAAACCTTGATAATGTCCCTTTGGGCGAGCTGGACCTCTTATAGGTTAAGTGGAATTACCCCCGAACTTCCAAGTTTACCCCTGAAATTATATGCTTAGAACTGGACTAGCGCGGTCGCGCTAATGGCCGCAATATAGCATAGTATTCTGTCTCGAGTTTCTGGACTAGCACGGTCACGCTAATGGCCGCGCTAAGCTGGGTCATCATTTTAGCTCTTCTTTTCTCTCTTCTTTCACACGTACTTAGCTCCGAGGGGCTTCCCTTGCTTTAATTTAGCTCCAAACGCTGTCCTAAGTTCTCATAAGCGCAACTCGCTCCTGTAAAACATGAAACTCACAATTAGAGCCAATTTATCGTCATTTAACTATCCTAGAACAGTGAAGCATAGTCAAGTTGGGGCATAAACCGTCGCCAAATTACATGAATCTAGCCTATTATCAACAACCCACACTTAAATCATTGCTAGTCCTCGAACAATCCACCACACTCTATAAAGGTTCCTTCACTAAGATTTTCCCCTAACGTATCACACCAAGAACAAATCACCAAAGTTACGTCTAGTAGTGGACAATCTTTGCCTCAAAAGCCGACTCTCACGTGCCGTGCAATATTCACACTTACTCAAATTTTTCTATACAGAAATTCGTGAATCATATGCCCTCACATCACACAAGAGAGTAGTTCCACAAATAGTAATATTAAGAACAATTAGGAACTCAGATAGATAAAATTCGCTCACTCTCAAAAAGAACATTCGCATGCCACACAGATGCACCATAAGCTTGCTCGTAGTGTACTACTCTACTAATCGAGCTCATTCAGTCTAAGATCAATTAGGACTTCATTTGGTTGTAATGTAGGCTAAGGGACGGGTAGGATATATTTGGATATAGTGACTAACCTCCCTAAGCACTTTTAATACAATCACATTAACGTTCAAAACCATATTGATGTCAAACCAGACATTTCACCACACTTATATTTATAACAACCCAACTCCATTAGGTACAATTGTATCAAGTCACCACTTATCAAATACTACATTTACTCATTCTTTTTTTTAAGTGGTGCTTATTCTTTTACTTTTTCAAAATACTGTACTTTTTTTTTCTATTTCATCTGTTCCACTCAAAAAACCAAACCACCTCCCCACACTTTAGCTTTTGCATATTTCATAACCATTCAAGTACTCATGGGAGGTAAAATGGTTCAAACAGATGGGCCGTTCAAATAATTGGGTAAGGTTTGTAATGTGGTTGCCAAAGAAACAGGCTTATAGGCTCAACGGGGTTAACTACGATGTATCACATTTAGGTGGGTCTACTTTATATATCTGGCTTACAAAGAAATGCTTATATCACTTCTAAGACTGAATAAAGCTACTATTTCGCTTTGCAAACACATGGGGCAAGTTCTAGGTATCACATGCAGAGCATAGAATATAGTACAATTCACACACATATGACACATGACTCACTCTAAATTGGCTTATCAAGACACTCTCGTTTGAGTACTCATGTCAGTTACAAACATACAATTTAAGGAACTCCAACAAGAATCAACCACTGAGACTAAGCGTCACACTCTAGTGTCTATTGTGTTTAGGTGTATCAATGCCAAGGGTTCTCTTTCTATTTCAGCTCATAGCCTATCAATACTAACTAAAAACTAAAAACAAAATAAACAAAAACTAATTACACCCGGTTCAAGCAAAACCCTTGGAAAAGAACCGTGCCCAAAGAAAAATCAAGGGGGAGTTACTACACTACCTAAAACAAAAATAATTTTGTTGGTATTTTCTTTAGACTTACTTCCCTCAAGAAAACTATCTAGAAGATCCGTCATCAGGATGAGTCCAACATATTTCTGTTTTTTTTTTAATTTTTTTTTACGTCGACTTAGACCCTCAAGAACCCCGTCGAAAGAGATCCGTCATCGGAACAAGTTAACTTACATAATTTGACTATTACTCAAAACCACCGAAAACAATCAAGAAAAACAAAGAAAACATCAAACAGTCAAGTTGTTACATATACACACATACATTGAAGTATCCCCCACCCCATACTTAAAAGAAAGACATGTCCTCATTGCATACAAAATAAAGAATAGTGAGGTAAAGGAACTTCCCTAAGTGATCACTCTTGATCGGAGACCGTCTTCGGGTTCAGATTGCAAGCACGACCTAGAGCTCTCAGCCAGCCCAATACTTTCTTCTCCGATTTCACCTGCTGGGCAGCCACCGCGTCAACACGTATACCTAAGTCGGCGACTGAGGTACGCAATTCGGCCACCTCCTACTCCAAAGTTGTGAACCGGGTAACCCGAGCAACCCCAGATGGTACTACAACCTCTGCAATTTGCTCATGGGCAGGAGGTTTGACCCTCACATCCTCCTGCTCAGCCTCCTCTTCGTCAGAGTCATCAGATTCACCACTATCATCACCACCCGCTTCCATCGGCTCCTTCCTAGTAGTTACCTTATCTGCTTGAAACTTGGAGTCTTTTGGCATTATTGCATCCACATCCAGATTTTCCGGCACCCAAACAGCCCGACATACTTTAGTAACTAAGGAAGGGAAGAAGAACCCATACCTTTTCACCGGATAACGGGTGAAAATCTCCTCATGAATCATCTTGGCCACATCAAAGTTGTGACCATTCATAAAGCACCATATCAGAGCCACTCGAGGACCATTCACCTCCATGGTGTTGGAAGACAGGATCAGGCGGTTGTTGATAACATATAACCAGTATTTACCTTCAAAGGTTAGCGTTGCGGAGTAAAACTTCTTACCATACTTCATCCATATAATTTCCTTGTCGGGTACACAGATTGTTGTAAAGAACATCCCCACTGAGTGTGTGATCTGCCATATATCTCATGGTAGTCTTCATACGGATCCACAGGAGCGGGCAACTGGTATATCCTCCTTATAGACTCAACAGAGGCATCCACTGCCTTCTGCGCACTGTTACTACGCCATTCACATGTTCTTTTACATTGGCGTAGAATTCACGAACAACCATCATATTCCGCTCATCTGGCTCTTCAAGGAAGATTTGTAGCCCCCGCCTTACCAACTCATTATACAAGTTAGGGCAGCCCAGCTGGATCGACCCTATATCTTGCCCCTTTTCGATATCGGTTTCTTAAGGGCCTTATCCGCAAAGCGGTCCTGAGCCTTAGCAGTGACAAACCTGCTACTATCAAAGGGACGAGCAGGAGCTGACATGCGCGCCCTGGACGATCCATCTTGACAGCTGGACGAGGCACCGGTGGTGCGGCGTTTCCTGGATGGAGCCATAGTACCTGGAAGAATAATAGCATTAGCATAGAACAAAATGTGTGACTCAATTGCGGTTACTCAAAGTTCACTTGCACAATTGGTCACAATTACCCATTTACACTCACTGTAGCATTTAAGCAAACACCTTGTGGACTTTATATACCCAATCTCCAATTTAAACAAGTTGTAACCCCATGACCACCATAATTTCCCCAAATTCACCCACTAAGTTAAGATAAAATTCCACCAATATCACCACCCACAAACACTACACAAACACTACAAATTTCTACTAAGAAAAGAAAAGAAAAATCTACTATATAATTAAAAAAATGAAAATAAAAATCTGCACAAAAAAAGAAAAATGGCAAAAAAGAAACCATACCTGTAGTGAGAGAATGTGGGGAGAAGTAGGGGTGCTCTTCGATTTTGACCATTATCGATAATTACTTATCGATTATCGATTTGTACATATGCTTATTATTATCATTTCAATAAGGTTTTGATTTTTTCGATTTCGATTTATCGATTTTGGGGGCTTATCGATTAAACCAATAAGAAAATTTGCGGGATTCCACGGAAAGTATATCGCTATAAACACGCCTAACTAATATGGACAAAAAGAAGC